CCCTCCCCTGGGTGACTCCCGTAGGATGCATTTCCCAGGCTCCTAAATGAGCTGGCTTCTGGCTGGGTTTAACCAATAGGAATGCTGGCTGGAGTCTGGAGAGTGGGAAAGAAAGGCCAGGGTATTTCTCCTCACCCTCTCCATCTTGGGCAGGATCTACGAAGTTGGCCATTTCTCCTCCATGGTGCCAGTTCCTACCAGAAGGGCCCACTATGGTTCCAGGTACATCTGAATGACCCTCCCCTAGGCACAGGTAAACAGTACTTCTTCCTTCATCCCGCCCACCCCAGGATGGGGGCAACTTCCCACTATTGCCAATTTTTGGGCTGCCCCACATCTTCTGCTTTACTTCTGACTCTTCCATCACATGAGTTACCAGTTCCTTGAATTCAAGTTCCTCTATTCCACATTGTCAGAATGGTTATGTTTTTCCAGCTGGATCCCAACAACAAACTCTAAATCCAAAGTCTCAAGGGCAGCCATTCCAAATCTCAGGTGATAATCCTTGACCTGTCTTCTTCTTGCACGGACAATTCTATGTACCAGGTTCCTGGGTGAATAGCAACAAGGTCCCAGTGCCTAGAACAAGTAGTTACTCAACAATAGCTATGATTTCCTGTAGAAATGCTTGGGGATGAGGGGCAGCTCTTCAGTAATAACTCTTTATTTCATTCAATAGTCCAGACCCCAATAAAAGGACTTCTGATCTACACATCTACTAGACTTCAAATTCAATTTCCTCCACATTGAACATTTTTGTCCAAACGTAAAACAAAGCTGGTTTATCTTTAAAATCTCACCTTTCACCCTACTGTATAGCCAAAACACTGCTTTATAAACTGAAATAATTTCAAAGAGCTAAAATTTTAAAAACTGTGATTCCCCAAATTCCCAACAATTCAATGTAAAATAAAAAAAGGCTTTTATAAAGAATCATCAACTCTAGAATACTGTTTTGCTAAATTCTTAATATTTTGTACAGATATCATCTCTAGGTATGTGTTAAAATTATTTTACCTTGGAGACTTCATAAGATTTGGTTCCAGTCAAACACAATTATTCCAGAACGTATTTCAGAGTGACTCCAAATTCCCATTTGTAGCTAGGACCAATCATTTCTGCAGTTCCAAAAAATTATCTTAGCTTGGAAGACCTATTTAAAAAACAAAAAAGACAGCAATTAGCATTTTAATGTTGAAATGATACAAATTTCCAGTAGCGAAATGAAGTTTTTTACAATGACAACTGCAGTTTCAGGCAAGCGGTAGACAGCCAAACACATCCGCATTTGCAGTGTCCTAATATACATGGGGGTGAGAGGAGGAAGATAGAGAATTCTGCACTCATTAACTGGCCACTTATTAGTCAACAGAAGACAGCTTTAAAGGAGGAGTTCGCTCAACAGCAAAGGCTTTCAAAATTTTACAGAGCCTTCCAGACCATTCATGATGCAAAATTTCACTCTCCCACTTCCTTAACCAAGGAATGAAAATGGACATTGGGGATGATCCATCGCAAGAGGTCTGCAACTGACCCAGGTTGAGAGAGCAGTGAAAAAAGCCAGCATGGAGATCTGAATTCCTAGCTTTGTGGGATACAGACCTGAAGATGATGCTAAACAATCTGCAAGGATGCTTTTTGAAAATAGAGGGCAAAAGTTTTTCCAATATAAAACACCATACCAAAGTACAAAGAACTCTTGTTAATGCAGTAATTGACACTGCCCTTTGAATACACAGACCTAAAAGGACTTTTCCACTCAGTGAAAACATTTTTACAAAAAGGACCCAGATGATTCCAAACCAAAGACATCTCAAGAAGAAAATAATGAAATATGAAATCACACCATTTTTAACATTGCTAAGTTAAATACATCCCTCCAAGTGGTGAAGATCAGAAAGAAATAATGTATGTCAATAAATATTAAAGCAAATACAATATAAAAATGAACTTTGTAACGGTGTAATTTGAACCCATTACAAATCCATCACAAAGCACAACTGATTTTTCTCTTCTTTAGATGCACCTGAAAATAATTACAGACTTGAAGACCCACCCCTTTGGGGCTTCAGGAGAGATTGGGCCTTGAGTAATTAGCTCAAAAGAGAGAAGAAGCTTTGAGTAACTGTACAAGGTATTCAAACAAAAACTGGAAAATGTTCACCTCCCAGATCTTCCAACTTTATTATGTTTGTCCTAATGTCCACCCAAGGGCACAACGTGACTTTTCTGTTATTTGAAAGAAATACAGAGTATAATTTATCAAAACCCATCATAATGAACACCTCATATAGTGGAAACCAAAATGACCTTTCCTGGCTAATATTTATCTTGTTTTCTTCACATAAAGAGAACCATTGGGGATTTTTTTTTCAATTCATTTTAAAAAATGGTTCCATCAATGAAAAGAAATGTAATCTAATAGTTTGTAGGCCAGACGAGAAGCCAGGAGTTTTAATTTTAGGCTGAGCAGTAACTCATTCAGTCAGATTTTTCCAGAGTGGACCCTAGGCACTCACATGAAAAGATTAACTCTTTCTGTACACTCAAGGCCACCAAAAATTTTGTGCATGGCACCAAAAGCATTTCCTGCCAGTCATTCATTTCTCTCCGTTGTTTTCCAACAATAGCACAGTCCTTCCTATCAGTCTGCTTCAAAAGTCATTCACTTTTAAAGTCTCAGTGTTTTCAATGACGAAAGACATTACTTATAACCAGACAAAAAAAAAAATTTAATGTGTCCACTAATTCTCAGAATGAATTAAAAACACTCAGCATTTGGAGGATGGGCTACATTTTTCATCTTTCACCTTACATGTTGGTATTATGTGGAGACAGTCACTCTTTTACAACAAAAGAGCAGAATGCCTTTTTGTGTTTCCTGGTACCAAGAAACTTTGAGGTTCCCTGGCAGAGGGGATCATTCTTCAGATGTTTATTTCTGTTGCACACAAGAAAAAAATGCTCCCTACACTTGATTTATTAGCAAGGAACTGTCAAGCCTTCACCTTTCTTTCTCTTGATCTATTTGCCTTCAGTCAAAGTGGGTTGACTTTACTAAGATTCCTCTTTTGGAATATAGTTATTTACTTGTTATAGATAAGCACTCTCAGAATACCTCTTACGTCTGCTACACTCACTTCACTCCACACATGTCAGTCTATATAACATCAAGTTCTCATTTTTTCATTCTAAAATCCTTCAATGATGAAATATCATAGTTCCTTTTAAAATCAGAAGACACAATGACCTTAAATCTGAATCTACTCATGAGTTATATTCAGACTAAATCAAATTTGAGGGACAGTCTGCAATGTAATTGCTCTGTATTCTTAAAAAACTGTCAAGGTCATAAAAGATTATATATATAAAAATCATAACGAACTATGGAATTGTCCCCAATAAAAGAGAGACACATGGCAACTAAATGCAACTGTGACCCTACACTGGATCTAGAGTGAGAAAAAATACACACATACATTCTCAGGATGAACTACACACAGACACATACACACACATATGCACATATAGCTATAAAGGACATTATTGAGACAATCAAAATTTCTAAATATAACCTGCAGATTAAATTAGTGTTGTGTCAACATTAAACTTCCTGATTTTGATCATTATACTGTAATTAAGAAAGAATGTCCTTGTTATCCTTGTTATTAAAAAATACAGCCTGAAATATTTAAGGATAAAGGGGTAAATCTCCAACCTATTTCAAATGATTCTGAGAGGGGACAAAAAGAAAGAGGAAAAGAAGAAAGGAAGGGGAGAAGAGAAAATGAATGAATAAATGAAAGAGAAAACAAATAAGCACAATGTAAGCAATTGGTAAATCTAGGTAAAGGGTATATGGGAGTTATTTGTACTACTCTTTCAACTTTTCATTAAGTTGAAAATCATATCAAAATAAGACATATGTACTTAAAAGGCTTTCAGTTTATAAGATATTCTAAAGTGATTTCGAATTTATTACCAATCCTAAACAATGAAGAGAATTGATAGTTGGAATTTTCTGGTTAATTCAGCTCTCTGAGCATTCACCCAAGCATCCAGAAAAGCTTATTTGTTTTTATTTAAAAAGCACACACATCATGCCTACTATGAGCCAAGCATTGTGTTAAGCACTTTAAAATATTAACTCACTTAAAAGTAGGATTTGTTTATAACCTGATGAGATATAAATATACAGATGAGAAAAATAAGGCATAGAGAGGACGAGTGACTTGCCTAAAGTCATTTAGCTAGCAAGTGGCTAAGCCATCTGGCACCTAAGTGCCTATTGTATCAATTCTCGTAAAAATTATTTTCAGGAAGTCTCAGTACCTTTTTATGCTTTAGTAATAGTTTGAAAATAAATCTATCTTTCTTTGAGAATTCAAGACATCGATCATCAACCTATAGATGAAAAGTCCTGTGGACAAACGTATATAGGCAATTGAACTAAATTTGTAGCAGATTCTGGCTTGGAGCCTAAGATTATTTTTACATTAACCCCTAAATAAATTTTGCCTCGTCTCTGAAAAGCTGGTGAATAACAGTGATTTTGATTTGCTGCAGATTTATTAAAGGCTTGTCATTTTCCAAATTAAGACCGAACATGCAAGAATTCTAAAGACCTTGAGTACTTAAGCTGCCATTTTTCAAACAGATGGAAGACAATTGCACTTCAGGTCAAAATCCCTCCAAAACATTTCAGCGAAAATACACTTGAGTCAGAACATAACACAGAAAAGCTAAATTACTTCATTTGATTTCTATGAAAGAATTCAGCATTGAAACAAACAAACAAAAAAAAAGATTTTTGTCTGTGCATCCACTCAGACTCATTTCCTGACAAACTCCTATTCAGAAGCATTTTTGCAACAAAACAGCAAGGCAGACTCTCGCTTAATGACAAAACAAACAGTCCTCATGCTACTCAACAACACTGTCCTTTCCTGCCTGCCCACTGGCCAGGGAGTTTTCCAAGTTCCACCCTGCATGCCTCCACAGTGGGCACATGTGAATAACTACCTAGGTATTTCCAGACTCACCACCACTCCACCTGACCCCCCAGGGTGAGACTTCCTGGGATGGCCCTGTGACTCCCGTTCTCAGCCCCTCCAGTATCAGGACACAAGTAGGAATAAATCTAAATCTAACAGCTAATGATACAACAGATGACACCCATAAGAGTTTAGGCATTGTGGTAAATTATTTCTCCATACTTATTTCTACTTAATCAAGACAAAGATAATAGAAGTGAGAAATGTTCCACAAATTAGCAACCTACATTTAGGGAGTAAAAAATAATTTTATGAGTGGAAAAGAGGTGAAAGGAGGGCTCCGCTAAGTGGCGTCTTGTCCAATAACCAACTGAGATTTCAAAATGGAAGTTACCTATATAAAATAATTCATCGTTTCTTCAGACAGAAATGAGGAAAGATGTTTCCATTTCCAGTTGTTTAAATAATACAACCTCATTGAGATATCTCCTGGAAATTTTCAAATAGCTTTTACACAAAAGTATATGCAAAACCAAATATAACCTCTTTCTTGACAAATTTATTCTGAAACAAGAACAATGCTAATGAGCTTTTTATATTTGAGAGTGTACTGATGAAAGTAAATGTATTTAGCAGATTATCTACGCTCATATGAGGGTATTTCAAGCACTGCTACTTGGTTGATACCTCCACTGAGCTGTCACATAATTATCACATGATGCATGGAATTACTTGCAATTTAGAGCGTGGTCGCTGTCATATGTTAAAGCAGGCAGATTTTTTTGCCAAAATGTGCTATATACATGTTATAAATTGCTTTTTTAATTGCTTGCTTAAAATGTCTATGAAGAATTTACAACTGAACAGTTTTACATGTTAAAGTATTATAAATTAGCCATTAAAGACAATAACGGTGTTTATTAAATATTAAAGAACTTTATAACTGACATTTCAAGTGTTACCAATATCACCTCATCTAAATTAGGTAGTAAAGAGTTCTTTAAAAAGGCTCTTCTAGTCGGAGATAATTTAAATAATTTAAATAGACGTGCTGTGTTTGTATAAGGTTCACACTCTATCATTTTAAGAACTGAGAAATTCCTTAAAACTGCACTTATTTAAGTGCAGTGACACATTCCTTTCTCATGGAAGTATGGGC